TATATATATATATATATATATATTTTTACCTGGATATAGGTCTGGACTGCCTTTGACATGACGATATCAAAACCAAATGTTTGCTTTGTTTCCGTCTCCTGCCAAATAGCTGAAGTCATCAAGTGGTTGTAATGGGCAGGTGTACGGTACTGAGTGGGATTAAAATCTCTCCTGCGATCTCCTGTGCAAAGACATAAATCAGTCAAGACCCAACAAATCCTGATAATGTACACTATTACAAATAATGACTAAATATTTATTACACAAACTGGGGAAAAAATGGAGACATACTATTAAAGGTATGAAATCATCTAACCATTCCAGAAAAACTGAAAAGAAAAATAAAGAGAATTCAAAAAGAAGAATTGAAAATGGTGAACAGTATAAAGTTAGACATTAACATAAAAATATTTTGACCTGACTGGTGGAAGCAGGACTCCCTAAAAAAGAGGTACCCTCCTGGCTGAAGCCAGCTCAACATGCTTTCAGTTAGAGACAGAAGCTCCTCCTCAGTCAGGTACATCATCAGCCAATTAGAGAAGATCAAATCGAAACTGGATGACATAAAAACAGGAAAAACAAACCTTTAGATCTCTGTGATTGTTATTTTTTTATTTCCAGAGGAAACACCTTATAGCATTTGGACCCAGTCTTTGATTAAACAATGAAGGAAAAAACCTAATACAGAATTTCTGACTTTGCATCACATATGTGGTTCCTAAAACTCATGTAGCTCCAGCAAATTATTTGTTCTATTGTTCCACCATCATGAATTATTGAAATTACTGAAACGCAACTAGTCAACAACTTAAAAAAGTCAGATAAAAATTTAATCCCACTTCCAATATGAAATTAATACTTCAACTATAATGTCCTGGTTCCTGTTCAAACTTTGCTAATAAAAGTGATTGAATTAAGATGTTTGCACTTAATTGCACTAGTGTAACTTGGTTGTTTTTGTTGTTACATGAAAAGCAGTTTTAGAGCCATTTTCCAAACAGGTTTAAATTTTAGATTATTTTACATTCACCTTTGCATTTTGAAAGCAATGCCATAACCTGATCAAAAAAAGGGTTTGTTGGTGGATGCTGTGGAGTGAAACGCTTATGTCATAGATGACTTATCTTACCCATGCAACACAGATATGTATGTTATTCTGTCTTTATTTTGCAACTTTGGAAAAAAGAGAACAGCTGTAGTTGTATATTTACAAACAGGAAACCCTGCATTTGCATTTAATTTCAACCACATTTTGTTCTTATAAGTGTTTGTGACGTCTCACATATGGCTTGAACTATATCATGCATCACAGTTCTGCCCAAAATAACTGAGGATGTTTTCACACCAGCATTTTTTAGTCCCGTGATCTGACATTATAGCATGCCTTTCAGAATAACATACTCTGTGCATATGTAGAAAATGTGTAGAACAGAATTACCTACTGTTATCTGCTAGCCATAAATTTAGCATACTCTTGCAAGAATATTCAACAGAAAGTAAGCAATTATGCTTTCCTGTTATTATGTCCAGTTAAACCAGACTCTGGTTCGATCTACCTCTTGGTGCAATTTGTTTGGGCCGGTGTGAACACAGTAATCGTACTCAGGTGTGGACCAAAAGAACTGGACCAAGACCGCTGAGAGGTGGTCTTGCTCCAGTCCCAAACAAACTCTGGAACAGTTCATCTGTAGTGGGAACATAATCCGACCTCAACCTGACCCAACTTCCAGGTGTGTGCCGCGAATTTGAGCTAAACGGCTCCCATAACCAGGTCTGCTTTGCATTCTAGGATACGGCAAACATGCAAACTAGTAGGAACAGCTTAGCAGAAAAGGTTACTACTGAGGCAACAACACATAAAAGAGATATACCAGGCCACAGGACCTTCTTCCTGTATTCTTGCTCCCACCAAAGACACATCGGTTTCTCTGGCCCAAATCAGTTGAAGTAAACTTCAGTTTGTAAACTTGTAGCGTTTTTCCCCTTGGTTCATTTTGGAATCACACAGAGAAAAATCCAAGCAAAGCAACAATGTACCACTACAAACCACGTGAGAACATTCATTCTGTCCTGAGAATGACTGCACTTTTTGTTCCATATTGCTAAACCCCATATACAGTGAGGTCAATAAGTATTTGATCACCCTGTGATTTTGCAAGTTCTCTTAAATCATGGAGGGGTCTACAATTTTCAGCATAGGTGCATTTCCACTGTGAGAGACAGAATCTAAAAAGAAAAATCCGGATATAACATTGTATGATTTTTTAACAAAAAAATTCATATAGTCTCTATTATACTCCTTGGTAAGACCACACCTAGAATATTGTGTGCAGGTTTGGTCACCATACCTTAAAAAGGACGTAGGGCTACAAGAATGATTCCAGGTCCTAGAGGAATGTCTTATGAGGAGATGTTAGCTGAGCTGAATCTGTTCAGCCTCGCGCCAAGGAGATTAAGGGGGGACATGATCCAGGTATATAAGATTCTAACAGGTCTGGATGCTGTTCAGCCAAATGGCTACTATTAGTTTAAATACTAGAACTCGTGGCCATAGGTGGAATTTAGCGGGAGAACATTTTAAACTGAATTTGAAAAAACACTTCTTTACACAGAGTGTAGTTAGAGTATGGAATAGTCTTCCTGTTAGTGTAGTGCAACCTAAAACCCTAGGTTCCTTTAAATCAGAGCTAGATAAGATTTTAACTATTAGTTAAGTTCTCCTCAAATGAGTTTGAAGGGCCGAGTGGCCTCCTCTCATTTGTAAATTTTTTTTGTTCTTATGTCATGTCGACAACAACCTGTAATATTTTTTAACGATGTAGAGTTTTGCCACGCTACATTGCTATTTGAAGAAAAAAAATCTTTACTGGAAAAGCTACAGTGTTTTAAAAGTAGCTGTGCTACTAATAAGCTACTGAAAAAAGTAGTTAGTGGCACTAATTGTAGTTAGCTACTCGCCAACACTGATTATCCTATTGTAAATCTAGGATTGGGGTGTTACTGTTAATTTCCATATGCTCTAAAGTTAAATTGTTAAAATATAGACTTACTACCCAGATAAATAGCTTTAAACAGTTTCTTTGATTGCATAAGACTTCTGTATAGTACAGTACTGAGCAATGGATTACAAGCTGAAAAATTAAGTACATATACATATATGTGTTTTAAATGTACTTTAAAGAGTTAAACATGCAGTGTGTGGACTGCATTTATTGAGAATGACTATTATTTCATCCATTTTCTCATTTAAAATCTTTTACTTTTTCATTTGATTGCCCACATCCTGTAGCAATATATGGTTACCTGTTTTTAGGAAGTTTCAACTGAGTGACATCAGAATGAATGAACTCAGCGTTGCCATGTTTACTGTTTTCTTGCTTATTCTTTTCCACAAATTTCTTCATGAAGTCCACTGCAATTACATGGTGAGCTTTCTTCACAAAGTGCTGCGTGTACCTCCTACAGAATAAACCAAGTGTCAATCAAATGTCAGTTCTTTATAATGCATGGTCTCAGATCATTTTGGTAGTTTTCAACTTATAAACATCAGAGTGTTATACTTCAATCACTGATAAATACAATGTCATTGAATCCAGAGCAAGAGTTACAGACATGAGAAAAAATGACAGTTAACAAAAAACTGAGAAAAAATATAAATCTTATCATACAAATTGATTGTGTATTGTGGATTACATGCAGTAATCTTGAATGATTTATAAACATCTAGTTTTGTGTTACTTGTGTTACTTGTTTGTTACTTGTGTTACTGTAATTTGTTCTTAAACCCCACGTACGCACTATTTTTACGAAGATTCTGACATTCGACCACGTTTTTTTTTTCTGAATTTGTTCTTAGCTAAAAACAGAATCTACGCACACTCAAGACCATTCGTACGCACATTTGAGTAATGATAGTTTGTTCAAAATAATCGGTTATAGCAGTTTTGTCGATTCTACAGTTGATAAAATGATAGTGTCATGACCTGCTCGTCCGATCCTCCTGTGTGCCACGCCCATCTCGTTACCTCGTGTTAATTCCCGATTGTGATCGCCTGTTGCCTGTTATTTTCAGCTTGTCCTGTGTATTTAAGTCTGCGTCCGAGTTAGTTTCCCCAGATCTGTCATTAATGTTCGTTCGTTGCTGCCCTGTGCTTCCCTGTTTTCCCCGGAATAAATCCCGTTCCTGATTATCCGTCTCCCTGCTTCTGCTTCCCTGGACACGATTGTTACAAATAATTTTAAAGTGTAAAATTTTTTTTCATGGTAGTAACGGCAACCATGCAGATTTTAAATAGGTCTGTTTCTGCGTATTGGCCTTGCTATCAAAATGGCATTTCTGTTACTTCTTGAAGAGCTTGCCAATCGTGCTCTGAGAAGGGGACGCATGTTATTTAGATTTATTTGGCACACAGCGTTCACAGAGAAGGTGATATCTTTCCATGTGTCAGCTTTTTTGGGGGCTTTATATCCACTGGTTACGCTACTAAATAACATGTGTCTATTTGCATTTACCTCCTGTACAGTACAATCCAGTTATAACGGACTTCAAGGGACCTGGCAAAACAGTCCATTATATCCAGAGTTGCTGTATGCCCAGAACACAACTACAGGACACCATTTACTCATGCCACACCCCAGCACACACACTGGTGGTATAGATTATTATATTGTACATGTAATAATCAGGGGCGGAGCTAAAGGCAGGGTGGGCAGGGCCACCGGCCCTGGGCCCAGGCCCTCCCCTGGATCGCAGAGGGCCCTCCTCCCAGCAAAAAGAGGACCCTCTTATATACTAAATACACACAAAGTTAGACTGATATAATTTCCCCCAAGCTCTTGGCAGCTAGAATATATTATTTATACTTTAACTATGACTTGTGATTTTATATATCTGTCATTTTTGGTATACATTCTTATTATGGTGGGTGTATTTAATGGTATTCCATTGACCATTGAGGAATTTGCAAAAAACATGCATGATGGGTAGGATCTAAAGAAAAAAAAAAACTTTGAGAAAGTTCTGTTGTAATAGGCTATTATATGCCGCAGAGCTTCTGTTTGCAATTTCGCCATGTAGGCTACGTTCTTAAAAACTGCTTTTTGTTGGATATAACCCGAATATATGCCGTGGGCCTTTTAATTTGTTTGCTTGCAATTTCGCCAGGTAGGCTACCTTCTTTAAACTGCGTTTTATTAGACCACATATTTCGGGATATTTAATTGTAGTATTTCTAAATATGTATATAGTTTAGCCTAACCCAGCCACTTAAGGGAGCAAGCCAGTTCAACTAGGTGCATTAATCCCAAGCCTGGATTAATGGGGAGGGTTGGCGTCAAGAAATAAAGAAATTGTCTCTTCACTGCATCACTGATGTCAAAATGTGGGAAATATGTGGTTGTATAAATAAATACGTTAAAGTAGGTTCAGGCCCGGATTGGCTAATCGGGAGGACCGGGAGAATTCCCGGTGGGCCGGTCCGTTTTTTGGCCGCAAGGGCCGGTGTCCCTAGCTGCCTGCACTTTATTTATTTATTTATTTATTTATTTAACCAACCATAGCCTCACTCTTTTTATTCATTATTTTACCGCAGCTCCACTCTTTTTATTTATTTTCTCGCAGCCCCATGAGCAGAATACAGCCTGCAGGTTAATGATGACGTAATTATCATTCGACTTCCCCGACAGCGGCACTTTGCTCAACAGATCAAAATCAGTTGTTAAGAGATACACGAGAGATGCAAAATGGATAATAAAAAGCGAAAAGGTGGCGCTGAAAAGGCCAGAATTAAAAAAAAGAAAGCTCTAGAAACTGACACGGCCAAATGTACTAAGCTGAGTACATTTTTCGTTAAAACCAGCGGCAGCGAGAGTACAACACATGAAGATGATGAAACGGCCGGTGTTCTGTCGAAATGAGCTACTTTGTCGAGTTATCCTACCGTAGTGCTAATCGATAGCCCTAACCCTAACTCTTACCCTAACCCTAAACCCCCAAACCCCCTAAAACCCTTACCCTAACCCTAACTCAAACCCCTAAAACCTAACCCTAATCCCAAGACGGTGGAACTGCACATGCGCAAAAAGGCTCGATAGTACGTCTCGATAGGTAGTTCAACTCGTCAGAACACCGGTAAGTTAACGTTAAGCTAGTTAAGAGCAGTGCAAAACAACGATGTCTGCAAACCACCGTTCATGTTTATGTATCGAACTTTTTCTTGTAATGTAGCTCTTCAGCAGCAGCAGCCTCTAGTCCAGTTTGCTGCTAACAGTGAAGAGCCAGGCCCCGTAATGTTACCAAGCACCAGTCATGAGCCCAACACACTAGAATGGGCAGGAAGGATTGTCATTGAGTGAATATAAGAATTCGAATAATTAATATTAATATTAATGAATATTACACCTGCTCAATGAAAAATGCCCTGAGATAATTAATGACATCAGATGATTCACTACATTAATAAATCTGACTTAACTTGATCAGAAAGCTAAAAAGGGGAAATTTGTGGTGAGAAATATTACCATTACCACACCGTCAGGACAGCTAGTGAAATGCCACAAGGAAGTGATGTTGATCCTTCCATGGAACAACAGGATGTTGAACTAGAGAGCAAAACTAAATTGTTCCTCCTGTAAAAACTATGTCATTTGTGTCCATCTCATTCTATCTCAGTACAATCTTCTGACACCTACCATGTGATTGGACTCGCCTACAAGTTGCTATTAACTCTGTCCATCACACAAGTAGCCTGTGAGAGAAGTTTTTCAATAGTGAAATTCGTAAAAAAACAGGCTCAGAAGCACTTTAACCCAGAATAACCTTGAGGCATTCATGCTCATGTGCACTGAGAAAGAAATTCTCATGTCTTTGGACAATGACACTGTGATAAACAAAGTTGCAGAGACCAGTACACTGCTCAGGCGTTTATTAATGTTTTAGGGTTGGCCATGTTTCCTTGAAGCCGCACTTATGCAGAGGAAAAAAAGATGAAGCCATCATTAGAAAGTAATACTGTGGTTAAAAAAAAGTCTTGCAGATAACAGTGCAATACTTGTTTTATTCTTTATTTGTGTTTAAGGACTGGATATCTGTGAACAATTTTGCACAGAATATATATTCAGATATTTCAGAAAAGGACATTGTGATGTTTTAAAGAATAGTGTTGGAGATTTACCCTTTAATGTTCTCATATTTATGAAAAATATTTGAAGTTATTCCTTGAAAAAGACATGATAGTGTCATTAGAAAGTTTAATACATTTTATTTTAATCTTTATTTTATACATATAGCTAAATATATATTTGTATTTATTTGATATTTTTTCATTACAAGGTTTGGAAATTTATGAGCACTAATTCTTACAGAAAATAGATTTTGATACTGTTAAACATTATGTTAACTGTTGAAATATATCTTCACTGTGAAGCAACACTTAGGCTACTGTATTTGCACTGAATTGGAAATGGGCCAGTCTAAGGCTTGCAACTCCAGGGCTGAAAAGGAGTCCCACTCCGGCCCTGAGTAGGTTAATGATTCTGTGCTGTCTAAATTGTATAAAAAGTTAGGCTACATGATATTTGAATGGGTTATACCCAGATGCATGGACGCATTATGAGAATGACAAAGTGCACACTAATTAACCTATACCCTATTCACTTAGACAATACACTGTAATTTTTTCAACAGAAATGGATGAGATGTGCAGGCAGCTGGAGGTGGAATTTTTGTCCTTGGTAAAACTCTGATGGTCTCCACACTGGTAACAACGTTGTTTTCTAGGCATAGCCAAACAAATCTCCTGTCTGAAAAGGTGTAGAAAACGCAATTTAGCCACTAAAACTTTACGGATTTTGTGAGGGACAGTCGAATTCTCTCATTAAGTTTTTTGTGTTCTTGCACCTACACTTTAAAACTCGTTTCAGCGCCGCCACATATACGTATGTGTGCGTGTGTGTGTGTGTGCGCGAGTGCGGGAGGGGGGGCCCGATCGGTGTTTTGCCCCAGGACCTTGTTTGTAGTTGTTCCGCTACTGGTAGGAATCCAACTTTACCTGATCAGATGCGTGACTATTAATAATCCCGACTCCGTATCTAAGCTGGATATCACCGGTACGCCACGCGCCTTGTCAGCGGAGCCTGCATGTCCGTTATAGCCGAACAAAACTACAGCTAAAAGCAGCCCTGGGGACCAAATTGTTTGTCTGTTATAAGTGAAATTCCGTTATATATCATCTATAACGGACTAGGTCCGCTATATCCGGTGCTTTTTCTGCATATTCTTAAAGGCGCACGGCCGGGACCAGCGGACCTCGTCCATTATAGATGATATTCCGTTATAAGCGAGTCCACTATAACGAGATTTTACTGTATTAATACTTCTACTTCAGCGTTACTGAAGTTTTTTTTTCCTCTTAGTGCCAAGCGGCTCACAGCCTGCGCGTCTCTTCGCCATTCCTTGCACATGGCCCTACAGTCTCATGCCCTTTTATGGGAAATTGCAAGGCGTTTCCCTATGCTAATTAGGACAAACTGGCACGCGCCTTCAGTTACGAAGACGTGGGATTCACCCTTCTTAAGAACAAAGGTGCATACAATTCTGCTACTTAAGAACACATCATGAATCCGGCGTAGGTTGTTCTTAACAAATTTCATAGTAACATATTCAAAAGAATTCTTAAGAAAATATTGGTGAATGAGGCCCAATGTCATTATATATGTGCGTGTTTCTTTTGTTTAAATTGTATGCATGTAATGCACACTATACAACGAATATTTAAGATTTTAGCCATTAAAAACTATAGCATTAAATAAAGGGGTGAAGGATGTGTGACATTTCAGAGTACGCGGGATAAGGAAAATACACCATTTGCAACTGACCCGATTCCAGCTCCCAGCTCAAGTATGTTGGTGCCCTCTATATTAGGGAGAAGTGACAGGATCTCAGGCAGCTCCAGCTGACTAAGTTGCTCGGCACTGGAGTCCAGCATCATTTCCTGCATGGTGGCTTCCTGAGAGTGCTCCAACCAGAACTCCGTCATATCGCGCCGTGCAGAATCTTGAATAGTAAATGATAATCAAAAGATAAATGTAAATACAGTATATGCTCTAGAGCTATCAGACTGTTAACACTTCTAGATGTCTATGTATTATTTTTTAATTTTAATGTTAACTGTTCTGAAATTCTGATTCTGCATAACTGTTTCAATAAATGCATATTTAAAACCCATCTATACAAAGCCAGGATCCTATTCCAAGAAGTACAGTACAGTGGATGGGGCAGGGGACATAGCAGACAGAAGGGGAGCACATTACATACAATCACACACTTTGGCCAAATCCACCTAAAATTCTTAAACAATCCATTTCATATAAATTTATGTTAGTTTTGTACAATGACCTAAAATTATTATTATTATCATAATTATTATTGTTTATTATTATTATTATTATTGTTGTTGTTATTATTATTAAATGTGAAGTAGAAAAGTACAAGCAGTTTTATTAACCTTCATCAAACCTTAAGCATATTTCTTTCAGGTTTCATTACAGTGAGTTGAGCCATAACAAAACAGAATAACTAGGTAAAAACCCATGCGTTTAACGTTAACCTGAAAAAAAGAAGTACCTTCTGGTGACTTGTGGCTCAAAGCATACACAAGATCCATGGAACAAAAAAGTAAAATAAGCAGAAGCGTTCAGCCTCGATTACATGTTATCATAGAGAAATCTGGATAATTGAAAAAGCTGTTATATATGACACATCCATAAAGGTGTTCACATCTGTCTTACCTTTATCCATGGACACAATATGAATGTTTTCAATAGAGGGGATTAAAAAAAATCAACTGAATTAGAACAAAATAAAAGTCTTCAGGCTAACTGCCTGTAATCTTTGTAACCAATGATCAAACTTTCAATAAAGATAGCAAAAAATGCCTAAAAGAACAACACTTCTGGAAAAGAACTTAGACAGAGGGTAGATGTTTATGGCCTGGATGACCGGTTACGCCGTTCTAGCAGCTACTACTGTTGCATAAACGACCTTTAGACTGCATGTGTCATCACTTCCACATGTTGTTTTCTATATTCCGTTGAGATATTACTGTGATCTCTAATTAAGCATTATTTAGAGAGGCACTCTTGAGGAAGAGTTTATTCTTCTTTATGGAAAAAAAACTAATTGTCAAAATGCTAATCATACTTATTAAGGAAGCAGCATTAATATTGAAGGTTTAAATGATTAAATGAGTTTTGTATCCTTGAGAATGATATCATATCACCTAATTTTTCCCTGCCACTACATATATTGATTTTGTATTGTTCACACATTGAGTAAACACTGGTTAATGTTTCATCCTTGTTAATTGCTCATCTTCCCATGAACATATAACTGTACAATAGTCTATCTATTACACAGTAAGAAAAAAAAAAGTTGCTGTACAGCTGACAGTTTACAGCAGACTTAGGCAAAAGCCAGCCATGCAGTTATTTTTAGTCTGTGCAGTCAATCCATCGACCGACTTTCTGAATTAAACCGCTTATCCTATTCACGATCACAATTACTAAATAAAATTTTATAAAAGGGTACACTTCTATGTTGAAATCTATTCATATGAAGGTGAATACACATCTTTAGCTGAATTGATAAAAATAATTTCAACATAAAAAAATGCACAGGTTCTATTAATTAATGCAGGCCAACTTATGCACATGGACTGGGACAAAAAAATCGGCCCTGGCATTTTGGCCCAGACCGGCCCACCACGTACGACAGTTGCGTTGGACAGCTGAGTCATGCGTATTTAATCTTATTTGTGCGTTTTTCACCGTTCATATACATTTTTTATATTTTATGAAATACATTGATCACAGCGTCTGTTTGAAGAGCCAGGTTCTTTTTCTTGCAGTTTCTCTGAGCCTCCTTTGCGTTTCCTCTCCATCTCAGATGATTCGGACTGACACTGCACACCGGCCCAGAGCCAAAGTTGGAGGTGTTTAACTCCTGTGCTGATTTTTTTTTTGACGAATGCATTACGCAGGCACAGGGACCAAAGCGAAAGGGGGTGTTGTTTAAAAATGTGATTGGGCTAGCCCAATGTCAATTGGGCCGCGGATCTACGAGTTTTATGGGTCGGTCACATCAACAAATAAATAAATAAATGCACTGTGTCGGCCTACCGGGAATTAAAACGCCCGGTGCGCCAGATGCTTATGCCTAGGGATGCACCGACTCTTTCAGTTCCGATACCAATACCTGGGGTTTGGGTATCGGTCGATCCCAAGTACCAGTTTTTAATTAATAAGCTGTATGTCTAACTGTGGGGAGGAGACAGCTTATTCCGTTATGTTTAGTAAAATATCAGACTTAAATACCGTTTTCCTAACTTTATAAGACAATGTAACAAATGCACACAGACACGTATAGGCTTAATTATTTATTATTAATAATCAGCCAGCTAATGGTTACTTTTAATCATTAATCCATATTCGTATAATTTAGTTAACACAGTATGTGGACTCCAGGCCGCTAGCAAACACCGACAGATAAAGTACGAGTTAGACAGTCGAAAACTGTCCGTATGCGTGTGATGGACTTTCGCTAGATGTTTCGACAGATTGCTTGTGTTCCCTTGCAAAAAGACTTGTTACTTGGGCATTGTCAACATCGACTCTAGCGAAATGTAATTATACTTTTGAACGTTTAATTCTCTCCGCCACCGTCACTAAAAGCAGTATCCGGATGTGCGCTGCGCCTTGAGAGAACGAGAGCGAGCGAGCTGCCCCGTACCCTAATTCACGCAGGCTGTGAGACAGACATCTTTCTGAATTAAAAGCGAAAATGAAATCAGACACGTACAATTTCCTTGTATATCACAAATTGTAGCGAGTGCACAAATTAGCGACTCACAAACCATCCATTTGCTTTTTTCATCAAAATATTGTATTAACCCTTTGTATCCATTTTTGAGCGTTTTTCTATCCCTTTGATTTTAGGCTTATTACATTGTATGTACTGTACATGAGTTAGCCACATATAATTTATGGTTTTGTTTTCCAGACATAGCCTACTGACCTACTCAGAAAAATTTGATGTGTAACCTCACATACTTGTAGCGAAATGTCAAGTGTCAAATACAATGTAGTGCTGGGGGTACCTGTTGGGCAGCACGACAAGATGGGTGGCAACTAAACTGTAAATTATCTAAATAGCTATGTGCCGTTAGTGTCTATTGTGTTGTTATTGTGTACACTGTAATGTCTTGTGTAGTAATTAATGCTGTGTGTTAAAAATAGTGGTGTGTGTAAATAGTGGCAGCTGTGAGTCATGCTGGCAGGACACACAGTGCTGCAGGCAGTCTGGTTCACTGGCATATCCAACCCCTGCATTATCGGACTGGACCTGTTAGCTCGCTTGGTGACTACCATTGATGTGCTGAGGGCAGTCCTCCTCCTCAGTACAGATGTGATGGTCCTCCAGTGTGATAGCATCGGCCAGTGCCAGTGGCCGAAGAAGAGAGGTGGAGAGACATCCATGCGGTGAGAGAAGAGGGCAACTCTCAACTCTCCACCATTAATATAGCTGCAAATGGGGAACAGCAGTACCACAGAGGGTCATCTCCTGAAACAGGACAGGCTGACCAGGAGCTGTGGCTGCACAGCAGCCAGGACCTGAAGCTGGCACAGTGGGACAAGTTCAAGGCTCTGCTGGACTCGTTCCAGGACATCTTAAACCACCAGTACCATAGACTGCCAACCCTGGTGCAGCACAACACAGACATAGGAGACACCTCACCCATCTGTTTGAACCTGCATTGACTGCCCCTGGAGAAGCCACGAGAGACAAAGCAGCAGATCTGAGAATTGGCACCAGCTGTCCTCATCAGTAAGAAGGACTGGTCGTGGCATTTCTACATTTACTACGGATGGCTGAATGAAGTGATTAGGAAGGATTCCTGTCCACTGCCCCAATGGATAATACATTGAATTACATCTCCGGGTCTATGTGGTTTAGCTCATTAGACCTCCAGAGTAGCTACTGGCCCTGGAAGCCCGGCCCAAGACCGCAATTCCCATCAGACAGAGGCTATTGCACTTCCTGGTTCTGTCGTTCGGCCTGTGTGATGGGCCAGCCACATTCAAGAGGTTCAGGGAGCATGTCCTGGCCCACATCCCCTGGACCCAGTGCATCATCTACCTCAATGATCTGCTGGTACATGCTGCTGATTTTGCTGGGACAATGCTGAACTTAAGCACGATGTTTGCTGCGATACACCAGGCAGAATTGCAGTTGAATCTCTGAAAGTGCTCTCTCCTCAAATAACACACTTCATGGGCCATGTCATCAGTGGGGAAAGCATGGCCACTGACCTGGAGAAGATGGTGGGAGTGCGAGGCTGGCTAACTCTGCATACAGTAACAGCTGTGTAGCTTCCTAGGGCTAGCATTGTATTATTGGCACTTTGTGAAGGACTTTGTCAGCATAGTGAAACCCCTGCACCCTCTTACAGGAAAGGGAAGTGGTCTGCCGATGCCCCTGTGCTAGCATATCTGTATCTGTGTCTCCCTTTTATTCTGGACATGCACGCTACTAACGAATGGCTAAGCATGGTGCTATCACAGGCAGAACCCGGAAGGGAGCATGTGGTTGCATACTTCAGTTGAGTAGGCACGAGTGCAACTGCTGTGTGACCTGACAGGAAATATTAGCCATGATACAGGCGTACAGGCAATTCTGTTACTGCTGTTAGAACATTAAATAATTTTTAAATGATACATTCCATGTTGCATCTTAAATCTGGCCAAATATTCTTCAAAAGTGTTTAATAAAAACAATATCACAATGTTGCTGTCCTTTGATATTAATAATATGCTATATTGGGCGCGGGAGATGAGGGGAACTTCTTCAGTGAGGACATGCAGTTCTGCAGCAGGTTCTGCAAACACCTTGCGGAAAACCTGGGTTAATAATCCCATTGAGAACTTGTGGCCAATCCTCAAGAGGCAGGTGGACAAACAAAACCCACAAATTTCAAGCATTGACTATGCAAGAATGGGCTGTCATCAGTCAGGATTTGGCCCAGAAGTTAATTGACAGCATGCCAGGGTGAAGAAGGGTCAACACTGCAAATATGGATTCTTTTAATACACTTAATGTAATTATGAATAAAAGCCTTTGATACTTATGAAATGCTTGTAATTATATTTCAGTATAACTATAGAAACATCTGACAAAAAGATCTACAAACACTGTAGCAGCAAACTTGTGAAATCCAATACTAGTGTTATTGTCAAAACTTTTGGCCACAACTATATTGCAGTCTTTTCCTCACTTAATTGACACCTTAGTCACATTGTCATAGGTAGTATGTATTTTGCAAGCAGAAAATTTCTCTACATGCTTGTGTCTGCACAACACTTGCTCAGTCGCTTGCTTCGTGTTAAATTACTCTCAAAACCTGAACCATGTGCGCATATACACTCGCAAGCAGAAAACTATGGAGCACTAAAATGGTCATTAACACCTCAACTTACGGATTGTCTTAAGATGCACGCAAAAACAGCCTCAAACATGCATATTTCACACGTTTGGTACATGGAAATTATGTGACATCAAGCCGCTTTTAGCGTGTCAGAAACAACAGCTGTAAAAGACACATCAATAAGGTTTCGATTTCATGTCAACATGACATGCAAAAAATTAACAATGTGTTGATTTTTGCCTAGAGGTGGCATTATTTCATGCCTACAGACATAAAAAAAAAATGCACGCCTAAAGACGGCAATAATTTACACGTTAATATTTCACACCTACAGACATTATATTTTTCCTTCTACAGACAGCTATGTAACGCCACGTACAGGCAGCATTTTGCAAAGTGTCTTATGACACAGTCAATTGATGTCAATAAAGTTATTATAAATTTCTTCACTGTTTATTATTCTCTGTGGCTTTTATTATGTGCAATGAAATAGACCAGGGTGATAAAATAGATATAACATAATAATTGATACAAAGCATCTACACTACAATATTGCCATGCAAATAAATCAATGAGCCTATGATTACAGTTTAAAAGAAAGCCAATTTCCTTTGTGTCCCAAATCCAGCAGTTTTCTATCTGGTACAACGTCATTATGAACCATGAACACCATCATTAAGTTTGCGTGTGTGTGTTGGTCACAAAAGAGTCAGTTCTATGTGAGCTAGCTCCTTTTTCATAAATGATGGAAGCTGACTCTCATCTAAGAATTTCTTTCTCTTTTCATTCTTTACCTTTGTTATTGTATACAAGGCAGAACAATAGGATGATCTTTTCACCAACTGTTCAATCACAGCCACTCCATGTACTGACTGATTCTGTTGTTTTGCACATTGTAATTTTTAAATATTTTGTTAGGTGGCACACCGTGTTCTGTTTTGAGTGTGAAATGTTTGCAATGGTTTGTGTTTTTGGATAGTATATTTATTATTTTATTTGATATGGACATCACAAGGACCAGATGCACTGTTTAGTGCTTGTAGCAAAATGCGATCTTACAGCCTTCAATACACATGTTTAGTAGTGTTTGCAGTGTTGCCAACTATCACACATCTGGCGTGACACCCATGCTTTCTGACTCCGACGCAAGAAATCTTATAGCAAATCTATATTATTCCATTATAAGCTACTGACTATTTACAAGGCAATACAACTGTTACATGCATGTAGATGAGTGTGCAGACTTGTCTCAAATTGAAAATCTCACACGAGCCAGCTGACCAAATTTGGCAACACTTTGTTTGATGTTTTTACATTAATGATTTAATACCAAATTCTGAACAGTATAAGGTTTGGTCGGCTATAAGTACATTGAATAATTTAAGTGATAAGTACACTGCCCTGCCAAAAAAAAAGTCACCATTTGAATTTTTCGTTGGACTGCCTTTAGCTTTATTATGCCACACATTCGTCATGGTACTGTTTCCATAAGCTTATGCAACATCTCAACATTTTTTTCCATCCAGATTTGCATTCATTTCTCACTAAGATCTTGTATTGATGATCGGTGTGTCGGACCACTCCTTCAGCACATCCCAAAGATTCCTTCAAGGTGCTCCAGTCACCTGGTTAGCAGATCTGTTTCCAAACACGTTCGTTTTTTTTTAGGGCAGCCAGCACTGCTTTTATTTAGCTCACTTTTGAACTTCCTATATTCGTTTTCAGTTTTTAAATCTTCTGCATGACTTGCTCCTACCTTTCCCAGTACACTCTGCATTGCTTTGTAAACATATGCTTTCCGCTCTGATGACTCTAACCCTGTCTCTTGATGCCACATGCTCCCAGCTCTGGCCCAACAGTCTTTTGAGGCCAGAATAATGAGCTTTGGCCCAGATATATTGGCCTGGTACCACTGTTATTTTTGGTGTGAATGAAATGACTGGGGTGGAATTTAAGCTCGGCACAGGTACCAGCCCTAGAGTGAAAGGGCTTTTAATGTAAGACTTCCTTGCTCTGAAATCATGACACATGCTATGATTGCACAACGATAAAATCAGCCAATCTGTCAACTTGACTACAATGTAAAAAATAGCAGTAAAAGTGCTATTTGCTGTGTGTAGGGCTGGGCATCATTCAAAATTTTTCAATACCAGTACCAGAACAATATCTTGATTTTGATACCAGTTCCTGTAAAGTGTTCAACTGAGTTGACTGAGCTGCCCTCTAGGACATCTTGAGACTTTGCGGGATCCCCCTGAAGTGATTGGACAACATAGCCACCCTGTACTTTGGTACTGCAAATGCTGTGCAGAGTATAGGCAGAACCTCTGAGTTCTTCCCAGCTGATTCTGGGTTTCGTCAAGGGTGTGTTCTTGTGCCTACTGTGTTTAATGCTTGCATGGACTGGGTGTTGGACAGGGTCATGGGGTCCAGCAACTGTGGGGCATCATTTAGTGAAAAAAGATTCACTGATCTTGACTTTGCTGATGATGCTGTGATCTTCACAGAGGAAATGGAGGCTCTGACCTGGGCTCTCAAGAGACTGAGTGAGGAGTCTGAGTGTCTGGGCTTGCAAGCGTCCTGGATAAGAACCAAGATCCATGCCTTTAGCCATCAGCAGTGTCTCTGTCTGCAGAGAGAATGTTGACCGCGTCGAGAGGTTCACTTACCTTGGCTGTGACATTCATGTCTCTGGTGAGTCTTCCTATTAAGTCAGTTGACAAATTTGGAGAACATGGGGGCCATGAGGTCATTGGAAAGGGATGTGTGGCGCTCCCAATATCTTTGTAAGAGGACGAAGGTCCAAGTCTTTATAGTCCTGATCCTCCCTGTTTTTCTGAATGGCTGTGAGACATGGACACTATCCAGTGACCTTAGATGAAGATTGGACTCCTTTGGTATGGTGTCTCTTCAGAGTGTTGTTGGGTACTGCTGGTTTGACTTTGTGTCGAATGAGTGGTTTGTCAGGGAGTCCCAAATGAGGCACAGTACCTGCATTGCGAGGGAGCATCACTTACCACACTATGGTCATGTGGTACGATTCCCTGTGAGTGATCTGGCTCGCAGGATCCTCATTGCTGAGGACCTGAGTGGCTGGACCAAGCTAAGGGGACACCCACGTAACACCTGACTGTGGCAGATAAATGGGCAATTCTGGAGGGTGGGATGGGATTGCATGGGGGGGGGGTCGCTAACCTAGATCCTGAGGTGTTTTTATTCTCTAAGCTGGTGGTGAAATTTAACAAATACATGGGGCTGCGTTCCCTTTGAAGAGAGGTTTAATACTTCCTGCTACACCGTAAAAATTGTCCAGAAATGGTTTGAGGAACATGAAAAAGAGTTCCAGGTGTTGATTTGGTCTCCGAACTCCTCAGATCTCAGTCTTTGAGCATCTGTGGGATGTGGTGCACAAACAAGTCAGATCCATGGAGGCCCCACCTCACAACTTACAGGATGTAAGGGATCTGCTGCTAACATCTTGGTATGAGATACCACAGGACACCTTCAGAGGTCTTGTGGAGTCCATGCATTTTCAAGTCAGAGCTGTTTTGGCAGCACAAGGGTGACATAATGCTATGGCTGATCAGTGGATATAACTACAGCTAACTGCATAAGTAAAGGGTGATATCTGTGCAATTCATGCAACTATGAGGGGAAAGGTCTATTGAATAGGACAGCTATTCCACCTGAGTTACTGCATATCTTTCCTTTATACCTGTCATCAGGTGTACTTATATTGAATAAATAAATATCACAGATTTGAGATGACTCATGTAATGACTGAACATAGCTGAACATCAAGCACCTATTCATCTTAAAATTAATACTTATTTAATACTTTTTCTAGTGTACACTGGAGTAGGAGATACTACCTTTTATTTGTCATAGAGAATAGTACTTTGCAAACATCTTAGGCAATATAAGAAAATGATGCTTAAATGATCTTCATGTTGGAGTAAAATTATCATATTGTGTCATATCATGTCAAAGTGTGTCAGCTTACACCTAAAGTCACCCCAGTATTTGTGCCAACCATCCAATACACCAGGGTTCAACTCTGGACCTCGATTCCAAATCCAGGCCATGTTTTCAGTTCTCCCAGGTAGTTAGTTTAATAATTACTGATTCTGATTGGTCAGAGGCTTCACACCTGACTGACAGGTAAAGGAAGGCTGGAAAACCAGCAGTGCTCAGACCTCGAGGACCGTGAGTTGAATAACCCTGCAATACACCAATGTATTTTTTAAACTCGACTACTATCCCACCTTGTTTGCCTAATCAATACCTCATTAAGGTTACACATTAAGTTAATTAAGTAAGCTGGTAACAAAATTTAATAAATACACAGGGCTTTATTCCCCTTGAGGAGAGGTTTAGGAACAAAAATGGCCATCCAGATATTAATAACTTTTTGTAGAAAGGAACAGAATTTCTTCTTATTTTTTAATGTTTTATTCTTAACCTGCATATATTCTAATGCTAAATTGTGTTTTTGAACAAAGATACAATTATTACCAAGATAAATAGCATTAAGCATGTTCTTTGCCTAAAACTTTGACACAGTACCACATAAATAAAATAGGTAGAATTGATTTGCCATGATCAGTTAGAAATTTGTTCTGCTCCTACTGGAAACTCACATCTATAAAAGTCTGTAATATTGTTTAAAGTGTTTACTACAAGCCTTGTATTTGTAAAGAGAGAGTTCCATCCATCCATCCATAATCGAAACCGCTTAATCCCAACTGGGGTCGCGGGGCCTATCCTGGGAACAAGGGGCGCAGGCAGGAACAAGGGGCGCAGGCAGGAACCAACCCTGGGCAGATGCCAACACACTGCAGGGCGCACACACACAGCTACACTCACATGCACACAATTACAGGGCCAATTTAGACTTGCCAATCAACCTGCCCTGCACGCTTTTGGACCGTGGAAGGAAACTGGAGCCCCCGGCAGAAACCCACGTGAACATAGGGAGAGCGTGCAAACTCCACACAGAAAGGACCTACGCCCGACCAGAGAGGGTTCCCTGTGTTTGAATGACATACCTCTAGGAGTACCTAAGCTGATTGTATCGGTAATATTGGTAGTTTGAGGCGCCATGCCTGTCCATAAAAAATACATTTAAAGGAAAATAACTGTTGTACAGAAAGTTGAGATATTTCACCAAAATCATGACTTTATATTTAAGAACTGATGGTACTGATAGTAATTGCATAAGACGACTAAAAATGCACAAAGCTCAAAAGCAAAATTAAAATCTACGGATGTGCTTCAACTTTCAAAATAGTCATGGGTAAAGAACCAGACGAACGCATTTCCAATGACTGGGTCATTTGACAGCTACGCCAGGCTACAATACACTTTTGTCTTGCAGTGTTTTTTTGAAGGTGTACTTGGATGATGTTTCTTAATGCTTTCATAATATTAACATCTCCGAACAGCATATGATGATTTAATAATTTGAAAATAAGTGTGATAAATCCCTGCGACCCAGTCTAGAAAAGTGGTTGAAATTGTTATAAATGCCCTTGAAATCATCACTATCTTTTATAAAGCAAGAGATAATAAAAAATGCATTCTCAGATTTCTGGAGAGTCTTTGCAGTTTCATTTCTACTCATTACATTGTAAATTTGACAAAGGAATGGAATTTGGAGGTATGACACTGATGCAGTACCATTTGTATGTTCCCATCATTGTCATAGCTGCCATGATGGTTGCAATTTAGTTCTGCAGACCTGACTGAAGTCCATTAGCCTCAATTATCTGTCGAAGGATGTTGTCCACATCATCAGTGTCATAGCTGATATCCTGCAGGTCAAGGTGGGGCAGAATTGAGGAAAGCAGGGAGACCACGTTTTGCCTGACTTCATGCAGATTTTTCAGGGTGATGCTGAGGAACATGAGAGAGGGAAGACAAAACATTCCAAGTGAAATTCAGGAAAGCTGTGACATACAAATATTGGTTAAAATATTATTTCAGGTAAAATTTGATGGCAAGTGCACAACACACCACAAAAATGGAATAGCAAGCCTTGTTTTGTGCATCATAAGATGATTTCATATGGACCCTAAGAAATAGAGAATAATTCCCATTTTCCAAAAATCATTTTCCATTTTTGCACTGAAAGTTTATTGAAAGTAGAATTTTTGCATTGTTAAATATTTCTAATCTTCATACCTATGCCAGTTGCATGTAGTTATGACTGTAGACTGCCAAGATTCAATATTTGTTGTCAAATATTAAGTACACAATGTACTAAAAGACAATGAAATTCTTACTCGTCTCTCCTCGCAGCCTGACACATAAAAGCTACCCTTGAAAAACTACTTTGAAACTACAGCTTCAAACTTCTACTTGAACCAGTAGTCTCTGTGCTGGCAAAGCCACTTCACTAATAATCACAATAAAACCTAGCTCACCCTGTAGAATGAAAAAGTGCAGAATAGTATGCTACTGTAACTTCTGAAGATGTATTATTTGGTATCTACCACAGAACTGTGAATAATTTATGAAATTAATTAACTTTGCAATCATTATATAACCTACAAGCATTAAATACTTGAGTGCAAAGCATTTTATCCAGGGCTAAAAATCTGTTGAAAATTAAGCTAAGTAAGATAGAAGTCGGAATATCCAAAACAAATTCTGCCAATAAGTGTGATACAGACGCTCCTCTACTTACGAACTTTCAGACATACGAACAAAGAGGATTGAACATCCAAATTGTGTTCATTAGGCTCCCACAGCATCACATTTTGTTCTGCGCGCCAATTCCGCCTAGTATGAATTCTGGCCGCTACTCCAGCTGCGCAGCAGCGTAGCGTGCGTATTCTCAGCATCCCAGTTCTTTGTACTTGCGTATCAGTAAGACGTGCTTTCTTTAGATTATTTTTGTTTTATGTATCATTAGTATGCATGTAATGATGAATCGCGAATCGGTTAAACATCGATGTAAATGTATGACGATTTAAACCGGCTGATGTGGAAAATGAATCACTACTTTTGGAGTACTTCACGGTACTTTAACAGAAAACTGGTGTAATATTACATTTGATTTCACGACGTCAGTTCGACATCAGATGTCGTACGTTAGTTTTCGGTTTTGACAGAACGCGAGATGGCGAGGGAATTTGAAATTAAGGACCCCCCGATCATAAATCGGCGGCGTGGCATTTTAGCTTTCCCGTAATCACAAACGAAAACAGCGAGAAAAAACAGACAACAGACAAGACAAAAACTGCATGCAAACATTGTAAAAGACTGATAACATACACAAATAGCACAACGAACATGTTTTAGCAAGTCCACCGGCAGCACAGTGAGCCCAATTCACCACCGCCAGAGCGAAGATTATTAAAAGGGCAAACCACGCTAAAAAGCTGCACATGCAAACCTTAGTTTATTTGGTAACGCTTTATATTAAGTGCACCTTCATAATGCATTCATTATGCATTTATAAAACATTTAGTGCACCTTCATAATGCATTCATAGAAAATTCATAAGCAGCATGCAAGTGCACTTTGACATACTAACATCCCTTAACCTTTAATACACATTAACAACAAACATTACCTGATGATACAATTATAATGTTTATTATTATTATATAATGTTTGTTATTAATGTATATTACAGCTGTTAAGGGATGTTCTTAGGATGTAAAGGTATACATGCATGATGTTTATGAATGATTTATGAATACAATACAATATAATGATTTATGAATGCAATATAAAAGCATTATGAAGGTGCAGTTAATGTAAAGCATTACCGTTTATTTATAATATTTGAAGATTTTTTAAAATTTTCCATCCATCCATCATCTGCTGCTTGTCCGGGGTTCGGGTGGCGGGGGTAGCAGCTTCAGTAGGCACCCAGACCTCCCTCTCCCCAGCTAACCCCACCAGCTCCTCGGGGGGGACACCGAGGCGTTCCCA